CTGAAAGAATCAGAGCCAGTGTTTGTTATAAATAAAGTGGGAACGTTAGAAGACTGCATGCACCCAATTATAATCAATCAGGTCAGTCACACAGACTGAGGTCTTTAAATTACGTGTTACTACACCTCTCATCATCTGAAGGCCTGGACTGAACAAGAAGCAGAAAGCAGCGGGGCTCAGGTCTGCAGTGTGTTGTTTCCATCACGTGGTGAACGAACTGCTACAGCGCTTTCCTGCTCCACCTCAGAGCAATTTATACCACACATTATTTCTACAGAATTCTTTCTGTGATGGATGTGTCGGAGAGCAAAGTGGACCTAACATCTTGTCCAGGGATATTTGGCATGCTGGAGCAACAAACTAAACCGCCACCTGCTCTACAGCCACCCCTCAAACACAGCACAGATCAGCCTCTCTGCGGGCCCCCTCAGATAAAGACCAATGCAGGTCTTGTGTCTGTTTATTATGCTGTTCCGTGAATGCATCGTTCCTCCTCCTCCCTCCTCTGGCCCTTTTCAACTTGAACTTGGTTGAGGTGACTTTCCCAGGCTCCCCCCCTCCTCCCCATCGCCTCTTTGAGAGGATGCTGTGGGAGGAAAGACTGAGTCTGGCAGCAGGACCAAATCCTTTAGTGTGAACGACGACAATAGAGAAACAAAAGTTAACCAAGACACAACACCCCACCCCCAAAGGATCCCACAAACAACCAAACACACCAAACCCTGCAGCTGCCGGACCCCAGGACGCCTCCAGGCCTGCAGCTCCTCATAAACATCCATCACTTCAGCCTCTTTATACAGCTTCACGCTTGTTTCCACAGACTCTGAGCACAAATCACTCTAAAGGCCAATTTCATCTCCTTGAAGAGGAGAACAGGAAAACATGTCAAAATCTTCCTTCAGCACCAACACCGGGCTGGCACAGGGCCGGCAATGGGCCCACATCACTCCTCTTTATAAAAGCAACGATGAATCCTGATGACGTCACGTCAGGAAAAGTCAAAACTGGTTTAAACAGGAAATCATCAGCACGCGATCGGACCCGACACCATGTAGGTGTACAAACCAGGTGTGGACCGTTCACACCTTTTGGTGTCCCGTGACAACACATCTGGACCACAGCAGGGCGTGCTTTATGCCAGGGGTGTCCAACTCCAGGCCTCAAGGGCCGGTGTCCTGCAGGTTCTAGACCTCACCCTAGGTCAGCACACCTGAATCAAATGATTAGTTCATTACCATGCCTCTGAAGAACTTTAAGGCATGTTGAGGAGGTCATTTAGCCATTTAAATCAGTGGACACTTCTAAAACCTGCAGGACAGCGGCCTTCGAGGACTGCAGTTGGACACCCCTGCTTTATTCAGACTGTGACTCGATAAAGAAGCCGATGCAGTTCTGGCCGCGGATCAACCCAGAGGCGTCTTTATTCTGGAGGACGTCAGTGGACACAGACAAATAACCTGGATCGTGGGCAGTATTGTGTCTCGTGTTCAGCAGGTGTGTGATAGCGAGTCATGCTCACAGATCACGACTCAGAAAAACATCAACTGATGTTTCAAACCATCGAGCTGCTCAAGTGAAGCATCTGATGATGATGATGATGATGATGATGATAAGGAGGAGGAGGAGGAGTTGTGATGGAGGTGGAGGACAGCTGTCTGATCAGCTGATGATGTCACATGTCTCCTCCTACAGGATTTAATCCTTCGCCTCCCATCTGGGTCCCCGCCATGGGGGTGGGGTTTTTAAGACACTGGAGCAGACAGTCTGCCCCCCACCCCTACCCCCCGTTTAACCCTAACCTGCCCCCTAAATCCCCTGAACTGAACTGAACCCCCCGAGGCCTCTGCAGGTCATGAGA